TAGAGATATTCAAGATATCAAAAGAGAAGGTAGCTCTTCACAGAGCCAAACTCAATCCAAACTTTCTATTGAAAGGATAGATCCTAAAGATATTGTCAAAATATGTCACGAAGCAAAAATGCCTAGGAAAGATAGTTATGAAGAAGTAACATTGTTTATTGTTATCTTTAACATTCTATCGGATTGGTATTTGGAAATTGGAAAGTGGATGAAGACTCTCCACTATTCAAAATACAACAAGATAAATTTCTATCCAGGTGCACCAGCCAATTGGGTTCGAAATTGCTTTGAGATAGGAAATATACTTTGTATATATCCAAGCAAGGATCTTACAACTGGGTTCGAAATTGCTTTGAAATAGGAAATATACTTTGTATATATCCTAGTAAAGATTTCAAGGAGATAGCTCAGCTTCCAGCCAACATTAGGAAAGCTGTTAAAAGATATACTGAAATTGTTAAAACAACAAATATATATATATCAAATTTCATTCAGCAACAATGGAATGTGATCCTGTTCTTGAATATATGCATCCATCGTTCCATGTGATCAAAATGGGACTAACAAACCAACATTTTTTACCAGCCAATCAAAAGGTTGTTAAAAATGGATATCAAGATATTCTAAATATGATGCCCTACAGGAGAGCAAAAGGGTATAAAGAGATATTTGAACATGTAACTCAAATTATTACTGAGAAAGAAAAAATATGGGTTTATCCATCTGAAGATCATATTATTTATTCCAATGCAAGGATGGATACCAAAGAAGAAGATATTTGTTATCTTGATCATTTATTATCGGCAATTATATCCAACCAAGTGCACGGATCAGAGGATATGGCTAAAGAACTATGTAAATTACTCTGGAATTACAGTGATCACCATTGTGAATACTGTGTTGTTGAAGATATGAGTCAAGCATCTCTTAATGATGAAGAATTCCCTGCAGAATTCTTTAATTCGAAAATGGAGAAGTGATGGTGACTAAAGTAGCCCTTTATCACTACTTTAATAAAGAAATTTATTAAAGAAAAACTGTGGCTACTAGAAGACAGAAGATAATACAAGAAAAGTCTCTATAATTGTAACTACTCCTCACCAATAGTTACAAGTGGCAGACAAACTCAAAAGATAAGGCATCTACTTTCAAAAGAAGCGGTCCACCTAATAAGAAGACAATGAAGAATTCGGTGGAGATAAGATGGCCTAGCTACTCAACAAAGAAAAAGGAAAACACCTGTCCAAGATAAAATTCCAAAATCTCCTATAAAAGAAGGCATGAAGGAAGAAGGAAGGAATCTCAAAAAAAAACCTTGAAATAATTTCTCTTAAACACATTTGAGGGAAACCCTTTGTAATCTGTATACACTACTTGTATTCAGAAAAATATTAGATAGCTTGAAGATAGGAAAGCGTGTAATAAGGTAATCACTTATGGAGTTCTAAACTTCATAAGGCGAGTACCAAAGGTATGTAAATATAGTTTGCAAGCATGTACAATTTCAGTTCATGAATATTAAAGTAAAGTTTGTTATGTTCAACAAAGCTTACATAAAAGGATTTCGTTAAGTTTCTCATGATTCCTCGGCAGTACAGATAGAGATTTTAAAAGATTTTCAAAACTTTGATTTTGAATGGATGTTAGCCATGCCAAAGTACCCGTATTTGATAAATGGTTAGGGGAAAAAGGCAGTCTTCTAACAAAAATTGTAGCACCTTATGTGTGAATTATCTTTTAAAACTTCGTTCCAAGTAGAAACTTGATTCTGAAAAGAGTTTGGATAGAGGTGAAAACAGAAACTCTGGATACTGTGAGATAGCGTCTGTGGAAACACGGCTAGTTCTCTAGAATGAGAAATGCAACCTTAATTGAAAAGCCTTTTGTGGAAGCAGTTGTGGACCCAAATGATTTCGAAACATTTTAAATCTTTACTTGATTCAGAAGATTGATTAAGTACATGCAAAGCATCTATAAGAGCATACTGGAGGGAAAACCTGTTTATTTCCACTTGATTACTGTAAGTTATTTACTTGTTTTTACATGCTTATGCTTTAATTATTTTCATGAACAATTCACAAGCATCCACTTCCACTACTAATAATGGTAATAATCTTATTTTATTTTTAGATGAAAAAGATGTTTCGTTCTTACTTAAACTAGATAAAAAATCTGATGATATATTTCCTGCTGGTAGAGAAAAAATAGAAGAAATATACAGAGATATAGATTATAATTGTAGAAATAATATAAGATTTGATCCTGTAGGAACTAGCAGAAAAATAAGAAAAGTAGAAGATATTATAACTAAACATACAAATATACAAGAAGAAATCTCAGAAGGATTATTTAAAGAATACATAACTAAGAGAGGTCAACCTATAATCTTTGAAGAACTATAAAGAATATTTAAAGGTGTTCAAAAGATTGAAAAATATAGATATAGGACCTGATTGATAATTCTTTAAAGATATAAGATAGATATTGTAAATAATTTCATTAAGGGCAATATAGTACTTTTGATAAGAAAGGCTATTGTGAAAAATAGGAGGAAATTATCAGCCATTTTCAAAGTTATCCCATTTTACCTTCATTTTGAATGTTGAGAATTTGAAGAATGTCATAAATTTTAAAATCTCTCCTCCCCTAATCTTAAATATTTCTTCATCTTCTCCATCTCCATTTCCATCGCCATTCTTCAAGGTTTTTGCATCCATCTCCATATTCAAGGTTTCTTCTTCAAGGTTCGAAATTTTTGTGATAGATACTATGTTTTCAGAATATTCAAAGATTTAAACAAAAATTCTTTTAATGTATTGAAAAAATTCAAATTATGAAGAAATCACAGTAGATCTTGTTAACAGGGCTTGGCGGGTCCGGGTGGTCAGGTTTTTCGAGTCGGGGTCTAGGGAGAAATTCCACTTTTTTAATTTTGAAATAAAGGATATTTTTATCTTTTAATGTTAAAAAGACCATTGTAATGAGCTCCCGTTTGAGCCCTATTATTTCTCATTATATTAAATTAAATTTTTCTCTCTCATACTTTTAACCACACAATTATCAATAAAAAAATATTACACGTAAATTAAAAACTTTTCAACTACTTATTTTTTAAAAAAATATTATTTATCTCATTATAATCTACAAATAATGAGGCTCAAACAGCTCCTCAATAATTAGTAACTTAGGCTTTTGTACTAAATATAATATTTGACGTGACCACCTAAAAAACATGGCGGTCAAGTTACTTCAAATCTTATAAGTTAGTGAATAACACTACTTTTTTCTAGTATTATAATTGCATTCGAAAAATTAATATATTTAGTCCTTGTTAGATATGCATTAATTTTCAAATATATATTTTTTTTAATTACACATTCTTTAATAAAATAATTTTACACAGAAATTCAAAATTTTTTTTTCTTTGTTTTAATAACACATTCTCTATGAATCTGTTATTTCAAAATCTATTTTATAAAATTAAAAAATAAATAAAGTAAAAAAAATAAAGGACTCAAACATGCCCTTAACCTTTTCTCTGTCCAGTGTTCACGCGCGAGAGACGACGAGTAGCGAGAAAAAAGCTCTCAAACCCTAATCAGCAGAATTGGAGAAAAAGCATCCACTCGCCCAAACCCTCGCGTGTGGATTGGCATTTGCAGTTTTGCAGATCAAGAGCGAGATATATACTCCGTCAAATTACAGGTACTGCCACCTCCTTTACCTCCATAACCCCAACCCTTATATCACTTTTTTTCTCTTTCTTGTCAATTTTTCTTCCTCTGTTCTATGTCATGATCCCTTCAAATTTTAGTCAGATATCGACTATAATGATAATTCACCACTTCTTTTATCATTTCTGCATCAAATTTTTTGTTTGTTTGTTTGATTGAAATAGTTAATTTTTTATTATGTTACCTGTTTTCATATTTGTGGGGCTTCTTTTGTTATTTGATATATGAATTGCCATGTTTGGATGTTATTGTTTTGAACCTTTTGTGAGTGTAAAGTTTTTCCCCCTTTTTGGGATGTTTTGTAGTTGTTGGATTAATGTAGCAGGAAGCAGTGGTTTGGAATTCTATTTTTTCATGTGCACGGATTGAATTAGAATATTTGATGCGGGTTCTGATCTTGGCAATGGTATATATGTTTTACAAATGAACTCGTGGATACCTGACAAGTTTAGCAAATTCTGCTTAGCACTTTTTCCGAAAATAGTTAGAAATCTTGATTAAGTACAATTCTTTTGTTCTCTGATATAATATTGAGCCTAAGTAATCTTGTTTTATTAGCTCTGAGCAATTTAATTTTTAACCTTTCTGTGCACTATTGATCGATAACAAACATTGTTCATTTAGCTAAGTTCTGTAGAACTTTCTATGCTTGTTTTGGAAGTATCCAGCGAATTAGTTTTAGTGGATGTAGCACTGGCTCACACGACTTGGTCTTAGTTTTTTGGGCTCCCATTAGTCAAGTGAGTAGGTGTTTTATTGTTTGAAGATAAATGTAGTTCTTGTTTGTAATTGTAAGAATGCTGCTTCTAGGATCTTTGCCACTGACGAAAGTTTAAAAAGTGTTTATAGGAAACTCCAACTACATAAAACTTTTATCTTTGGAACAGACAAAATAAAGCATGAGCTGCCAAATTGTTAGTGCAGGATAATCAGCTTAAATTCTTTTTGTCTTTGACAAAAAACCAACGTAAAGAACTACTTAGTTCAGAAGTAACCCAAAAGTGGTTCCCACTTGTCTCAAACTTGGAGTTCAAATTTGAATTTTTTGGTTCCAAAAGCTAGGATTTGAAATTCTTGAAATTCTTCTTTGACTAGGCCTTGGTTGAATTATATTAAAATAAGAAAATTTCATTTTCGGATAATGAATTTTGTTTCCGTAGGTTTCTGATCTCATGTGAGCTTTTACATATTTAGGCATCTACAAGAAACATGTTATCCATTGCATGCATACAATTTAATCCCCCCTTGAAGAGGGATAAAGAACTAATTGAATCCATGAAGACTTTTAGTTCTATACAACTGTGTCTTCGTAGAATGCCTAAAATTGAATAACTGGAGATTTTTTAGTATGGTATCTGGCTTGGTTTCAATCAAATTTGTTAAGTAGGCTTGTTTTCTTGAGGCAATTGATGCAGTTCACATTAATTATATATTATTAGTGTTGATCTTGTGAATTGGACCTTTCACGTGGCGAGAGCCACACCACATGTTCCTCCCTGCTCATAATAGCAAACGGTCAAACACACATGGCCGGAACCAACGGAAGTGTTATGACCATATATACACCGATGGTCAAGTCAATGGACGGTGATCAGAACGGTACCAGAATTGTGCAAGAGAGTGGGGAGGAGAATATATTTTACTTAAGTATGGAGTGCCAAATATGAGAAAGATTCATTACCTTTGCCTCTTGATAAACCTTTGGTATTTATAGGCCAAAGGTATTGTTGGATATGTGACACGTGTATGTGTCTAACGGTGTGAGGTGTCTGCTCATAGGCGTTAATCAACCGCATCTTAGAAGGGGCGGGTAATTAATTCGTCTGAGTTGTGAGTTGACATAAGGCTGAGATGTCACATCAATCAATCCATGCAGACAAAAGAGGATCTTGACACAAAGATACATCTCTGAAACTGGCTGCGGAGCCTCGACACTTCCCACACTTCGGTAAGGACACCTCGACAATTACTTTGGTGACAACTTGAGGTTCGAGCGAGGCTCATGTCACTTTGGAACCACTTCGACTCGAGACGTGGCACCTCACTGAGAAGTAGGCGTGATTCACTGAGGTGGCTTAGTGAGGGGCGTAACAATGGTTTTCCAAGTTCAGGGATGAATATTTATATCATTCGTGGACTTTTTTGTCCGGTTGTGTATGCTTGCCATTTTTGAGTGTAGGTTTGTCATCTCTACGGAAGCGTTAAACCTCAGGGGACGACGGCTTGGGAGATGATTTGAAGCTTTGTGAAGCTTTTGCAACGCTGCGACCGAGGCGATAACCCGCAGGGAACTCTATGTCGGGAGGGTTGAAGCTTTGTAAAGCTGATAAAGTAGCTCATTTGCAATCGATGCGCTGACCCACAGGGGACGACACTTGGGAAATGGCTAGGAGCTTTGTGAAGTTTTTGCAATGCTACGACCGAGGCGATGGCCCCACATGGGACTTCGCGTCAGGAGGGTTGAAACTTTGTAAAGCTGATGGAGAAGCTCCTCCGCGACCAATGCTCTGACTCATAGGGGACGACGCTTGGGAGATGGCTTGAAACTTTGTAAGGATTTTGCAATGCTGAGATCGAGGTAATGGCCCACAGTGGACTCCCGTCGTCGGTAGGGTTGAAGATTTGTAAAGCTGAGGAGTTTCAATCCAAAGCATGCAATTTGTAATCTTGAATGATGTGACGGTCGTCGCGTATTTTCAAGGAGGACAGTTGGATGTGATGTTTATTCTCAAAAAAGGCTACTGTGGCTAATTATGGTAAACACGGCTGTTGAAGCTCGAGGCGACGCGTTTGGTGCTTGCGTGAGAGTCGTAGCTAAATCTTGGGCGTTGATCAAATCTGACATTTCATTTCAACGGCCTAGATTTGTGATGCGATCAACGGCCCAGATTGATAGCATTTGAATTCAACGGTGTAGATCATCTGAGGCTCCTTATAAAAGGATGCCTTGTTGTCATTCGAAGGTTTTCACTCTTGTAACTCAGAAAACACTTTTGCTCTCAAATTTCTTTGCGATTTTCGGCGATTTTCTTGCGAATTTTACCTTCTCCTGTGACTTCTTGGCTTTTCTTAAGCTTTTAGACGACTTCCACAAAGTCATTTCGAACTCTCCGGCGGTATAACACCATTTTCAGTTGACCTTCGTAAGTATTTTCCCAATTATTTTGCTTCTTCTCCATTAAAAATGGCCTTTGAGGGTAGTGGAACTTTGGGGAGGGAGTTGGAGATAGTGAGGATAGACGAACCGATACTGGCCACTTCAGCCGAGCTGTCCGAGGCTTTTTAGGGGGAGAGAACATCTGGAGACGACCAGATAGCCCCGTAGACACTATTGTGCATTGGGGGGCGTTCGACTATCCTTCAAAGTTGAAATTAAAAGCATGTTATTCTCCTAGGCATTTTGTAGCGGCTAATCCTAGAGAACATATAGAGTTTGAATTTTCTGCAGCCAAAACTAAGGCTTTGAAATCAATTTTAAGTAGTTGCCGGGTGAGGTAATTGCTAGAACTGTTTGTTATATTCAGCATGTGAAGACACACAATCAAAACCTTAATTCTAGAATTTTCAAATATCTTTAAAAACCTGTATTCGTACAGATTGGTCATACACTGCATGTTATGGGCATGTTTGATAAGCAGAATTGGATATGACTAACTGGACAATGGACAATCATTTCGTACGCCTCTTCCTTAATCTTGTATAATCCTATTTAACCTTGCATACTATACATGCCCTTTCTAGTATAATCTATAAATGTATAGTGGCTCAAATTCTTATCTTTTTTACTTTTTCTGTTCAGCTTGCTGAATGCAAGAGCTAAGTGAAAGCATATAGGTTGGCCATGGACATAGATCTGAGATTGCCTTCTGGAGACAATTATAAGGAAGAAGATGAACCAAATGGTTTTGTTAATATGCTAGATAGTGAAGAGAAACCACCCAGCATAGATGGAGTTGGTGGAGATATGGCAGATGTTAGGGAAAAGTTACAGGCTGAAGGTGGAGAGGACATGAATTCTATCATAGCAGATATAGATTATGTGACAAATCTTGAGCCACTTCCTGGTATGGAATTTGGCTCACATGGAGATGCATATGCTTTTTATCAAGAATATGCTAGGTCTGTGGGATTCAATACTGCAATTCAGAATAGCCGCCGTTCAAAGATATCGAGGGAATTCATTGATGCAAAATTTGCATGCTCTAGATATGGTACAAAGCGTGAATATGAGAAATCCTTAAACCGGGCACGAAGTAGACAAGGAAGCAAGCAGGATGAAGAGAATGCTACAGGTCGGCGTGCATGTTCAAAGACAGATTGTAAGGCAAGCATGCATGTTAAGAGAAGGCCGGATGGAAAATGGACAATACATAGATTCGAGAAAGAGCATAATCATGAACTACTACCTGCCCAAGCTGTAAGCGAACAAACAGGAAGGATGTATGCTGCAATGGCTAGGCAGTTTGCTGAATACAAAAGCGCGGTTGGTCTCAAGCATGATTCCAGTAGTCCATTCGATAAATGCAGGAATATGGCTTTGGAAGTGGGAGAGATGAGAATGTTGCTGGAGCTTCTTATCCAGATGCAGAGTCTGAATCCGAACTTCTTTTATGCAGTGGACATTGATGAAAATCAATGCCTGAAGACTTTGTTCTGGGTTGATGCCAAAAGTAGGCATGACTACATCTTTTTCAATGATGTTGTATCTTTTGATACTACCTATATTAGAAACAAGTATAAAATGCCTCTCTCTCTCTTTATTGGGGTCAATCAACACTATCAATTCATGCTACTTGGATGTGCTTTGGTATCTGATGAAAATGCAGCTACATATTCCTGGGTTATGAAAACATGGTTAAAAGCAATGGGTGGTCTAGCTCCAAAGTTAATTATTACTGACCAAGACAAAGTCATGAAATCAATCATTTCAGAGGTTTTTCCATCTGCTCTCCATTTCTTCTGTCTGTGGCACATAATGGGGAAGGTTTCTGAAATACTGAATCATGTTATCAGACAGTCTGGAAATTTCATGGTGAAATTTGAAGAATGCATCTACAGGTCATTGACAGATAAGGAGTTTGAAAACGCATGGAATGAATTGGTTGACACCTTTGGACTCGGAGAAAATGACCTGATTCAGTCATTATATGGAGATCGATCTAAATGGGTGCCTATCTTTATGAAAAACGCAGTTTTAGCTGGGATGTCTACAGTTCAGAGATCAGAGAGTGTGAACTCTTTCTTTGACAAGTATGTACATAAGAAGACCACCGTGCAAGAATTTGTTAAACAGTATGGAACAATTCTACAAGAAAGGTATGAAGAGGAAGCAAAAGCATCATCTGATACGTCGAACAAACAACCTGTTCTGAAGTCTCCCTCGCCGTTTGAGAAACAGTTAGCTGGGATATACACTCAGGTTGTGTTTAAAAAATTTCAAACTGAAGTTTTGGGTGGAGTTGCTTGTATTCCCAGGAGAGTGGATCAAATTGATGCAACCATTACTTTTAAAGTTCAAGATTTTGAAAAAACTCAGGAATTCACTGTCATGTTGAATGAGGTGAAATCGGAAGTGTCCTGCACGTGCCATTTATTTGAATCAAAAGGTTTCCTGTGTAGGCATGCAATGGTTGTTCTTCAAATCTGTGGCATTTCTGATATCCCAGTACAGTATATTTTAAAACGGTGGACTAAGGATGCCAAGAGCAGTTACTCAATGAGAGAAGGATCTGAACAGGTTCAGTCGAGGTTACAGCGCTATAATGATTTATGTCAACGAGCAATGAAATTGATTGAAGAAGGATCTTTGTCTCAGGAGACTTATAATATAACGCACCGTGTCTTTGATGATGCTTTTGAGAATTGTTTGAGTGTCAACAAGTCAAATAAAAATCTTATAGAAGCTTGCACATCTATGTCACCTGGTCTTCTCTGCCTTGAAGAAGATAATCTAAGTGGAAATCTGAGCAAGTCAAATAGGAAGAAACATGCAACCAAGAAACGAAAGGTTCGTAATGAATGGGAATTGCATTGGTTACTCTTATTTTATTTTTTTCATGATACATTCTGTGTATTTCAGGCAAACATGGAGCCAGATGTTATGCCTGTTGGTACACCTGAAAGCTTGCAACCAATGGTTTGTCCTAGTGAACAATTAACTTATTTACTGTTTCTCATACTGTGCGAACATAATACTATTATTAGCACTGAAAAGTTGTTATTAGGAGTTGCAACCTGCCTTTTTTCTTTGCTCCCTTGTAACAAATACTTTATATGTGCAGGAGAAACTGAGTTCACGACCAGTGAATCTTGATGGATTTTTCGGAGCTCAACAAGGGGTACAAGGAATGGTGAGGGATTTAATCAAAGAATTACTCTTAACATATTGAAGCTGTGTGGTTACTCCTAAGTGACAGTCTGTGGTTTGTGAAGGTACAGTTAAACTTGATGGCTCCCACTCGTGATAACTACTATGGGAACCAACAGACCATTCAGGGACTAGTATGTTATCATTATCAAGTCTAACAAAAAGACCAAGTTATTTCTCTTATGACATGCTGAGTAAAGGACATGTGGTTGCTTTCTTTTTTAGGGCCAGCTGAACTCTATTGCACCTACTCACGATGGCTATTATGGCAATCAACAAACTGTACATGGATTGGTATTTGAATTTCTCACCTTTGGTTGTTGTTTTTGGTGAATCAAATTCAATCTGGTGAGATAAAAAAATTATGGTAACTTCATGCTTGCAGGGTCAAATGGATTTTTTCCGCACTCCAAGTTTCCCGTATGGCATTCGGGTTAGTTTGCCATACCCTTGAGAGCCATAAATATTGTACTGTCATGTGATCTTGTTGAAGTCTAAGTGTATATAATTAATGGTTCGACATGGGTGGGATCAAAGCCAGCAGGAGACCCAGATTCAGTTGAGCTGTCACCTCCTTTTTTTTTTTTTTTTTTTTTTAAATCCATGCATCAGCCCTTCAATAAAAATGTGACTCAGGTCTGCACATGAGGGCGGCGTGTCAAATTCAAAAGTTAGAAATTCTCTATGTTAACCAAACTTGTATAACCAACCTTCCCGTGGCCCACCAATTTATTTTCAATGGTCATACATAATTGATTAATAGGGGCTTTACTTAATCGGGGGATCTCAAGAAATATATGTGTCCCTTACCTAATCATTTAAGCTTTCAGATGAGACTGTTCAACTTATCTTTAGTGTATTTATTGTATGGCCCTTCTGCTCTGCAGGAGGAAAGCAATGTTAGAACTGCTCAGTTGCATGATGATGCAACAAGACATGCTTGAGGACTACCTTTCTAGCTGCTAAGGTAGGTAGTATAGCTTTATATTGTGAATTTGTAAAAGGAGGTAAAACAATAATACATTAAATGGCTAGGGTTTATGTTTTCGCAGAAGACAGCAGAGATCTTTCATTGAGGTGAAATTATGCAATTTACGTTTTCTTTGTGATGGATACGAAAATTACTTGTCCAGAAAATAAGAAAGCTTAGAATGCAGCCTTTATCTCTGTCTCATCTGGTAAATCCATGCATCAGCCCTTCAATAAAAATGTGACTCAGGTCTGCACATGAGGGCGGCGTGTCAAATTCAAAAGTTAGAAATTCTCTATGTTAACCAAACTTGTATAACCAACCTTCCCGTGGCCCACCAATTTATTTTCAATGGTCATACATAATTGATTAATAGGGGCTTTACTTAATCGGGGGATCTCAAGAAATATATGTGTCCCTTACCTAATCATTTAAGCTTTCAGATGAGACTGTTCAACTTATCTTTAGTGTATTTATTGTATGGCCCTTCTGCTCTGCAGGAGGAAAGCAATGTTAGAACTGCTCAGTTGCATGATGATGCAACAAGACATGCTTGAGGACTACCTTTCTAGCTGCTAAGGTAGGTAGTATAGCTTTATATTGTGAATTTGTAAAAGGAGGTAAAACAATAATACATTAAATGGCTAGGGTTTATGTTTTCGCAGAAGACAGCAGAGATCTTTCATTGAGGTGAAATTATGCAATTTACGTTTTCTTTGTGATGGATACGAAAATTACTTGTCCAGAAAATAAGAAAGCTTAGAATGCAGCCTTTATCTCTGTCTCATCTGGTATCTGAAATGATATGAATTATGGTTTCTTGTTGTAAAGTTTGCTGTAGCAATTGTAACAGTGGCTGATTCAATCAAAAGTAGGATTTGTTATAAAATGTTATATTCACATGAGTAGTTTGCATCTGGTATTGTGAACTGGAAAATATATACTGGAAAGAGAAATTTCCATATTCATTTTGTAGGAGTCTTTTATGCTTGTAGGTCTTTATTGAAGTTGTTTTAAATTAGGCATGATATAATCTCACATCCGATATAAAAATACTGATCAACATATATGGACAGAGACTATTTTTATTGGGGTTGACTTTTTAAAATGAAACTCTAAAACCTTGAGTAAGGGTTTTATCGTAAAAGGTGAACTCCGTGAATTGGTGAACCAATTTTGAAATTCAATAGCTAGTTTGAAAATCTAGACGAATGAAATCGCTTGTTTGAAAATTTTGGGTTTTGGTCATATATATATTTGGGGTTACATTTTGGAATGCTAACCCTTTTAAGAGTGAATTATTCTATTTGTACAATTTGGTTGACAAGGAGGTCAAGTGGCGGCACCCTTTTCAACCAAATTGTACAAGAAATTGTACTTCTAGCATAACTCTAGAGTAGTAATTCAAGTTTATATGTTAATGTTTTTGTGTAACCTATAATGGATTTTATCCTTAAGCTTCCATTGAGAAGAACTTATAAATTGTTTAATTTAGAAATATATAAAAATGGGTGATGAATACACATAACATATTAGTTGTGACTTTACTAGAATGTGTGGTTGAACATAAGATTATATCATTTGATATATAAGTTTCATCAAACCGTGGCTAATTTTTTGTATAAACATTTAATTTTGGCCGAAAATCTGCTGAAAGGCAGAAGTTTCTGCTTTTGTTTGTCAAAGTGCTAGTAGTACTTTCTTGCTTAGTCCAACAAAGTAATTATGTTAAACATGAGATCATCTTCAACGCAGCTATTGGGATTGTTGTAAATATAGCAAGCAAAAAGGTGATGGAGAGCCGAGCTTCTTTAAATGGCTGTCAATAAAATATTGTTTACTACACGTTGGAATCACTATTTAATTATTCTTTTCCTTAGCGGTAGTGCCAAATCATGCCCTGTTACTCCTGTTAAATATTAGATTGTTAGTAAATTTTGATAAAAATTAATAAAATGTATAGTTGAAAGTTGATAAAATTGAGAATTGAGAGTCACATAAAATTTGGTTGAAATTAATTGATAATTTGACTTAAATTTTAACAATTTTTTAATCTAAATCAGATATGGTCCAAAAGTTATAGCAGCATCAAATTCACAAGCAAAAATTGAGTTTTAGGAACAAGTTGAATGCACTAAACACTTACAAATTTATTTAATCTACAACAAGTAACTCATTCAATATAATATTTTAGTAGTAGGTACGCGGTTAGAGACCTGGCTCCTCCCATTGCTTGGGAGCTTATGATTTCATATTTCCGAATCTCTCATAACTAGTTTCTATATTGAATAACTATTGAGGGTGAGGCAAGAAACATCTCTATTTTTTCTTGAAAGTCTTTGAAATTTTTATTTCTTGACTTTCGTCTCTGATCATCAAATAAAATGTAAAGTACCTTTCCTTTCCACTTGTATGAATTGTCTACTCAGCTTTTATATTTCATGTAATTGGTGTTGGCATTTGTTGTCCTTTGAATTTGGATGGGACTCATGTCAACATATCTCCACTTCTTTCCCCTCTACGTGACCTGCATAGTTCGACACATTAGAAGCACAAGACTCAATTTTGAAGACTAAGGGGGAGGCACGATCGAGTACGGTCTGATGCTCAAATAAAATATTGGACAAAGAATTGGTGATTAGGAACACGGAAACAGAGAAAGGCAGGGGTTGAGTTTGCATTTCTAGATTAAGAATGACCAAATATCAATTACCTTCAAATGACACGATGTATGAGCACTTATTGACAAAGAGAAACAATTGAGGTTCTCTGAATACTTGATATGTGACTTCATCCTAATGGCTCACATATTAAGCCTAATAGTGTCAAATTATAGACATCACAAACATCAGTCAGTCAAAGGGTATAAATGCTAATACCACTTCATTACCCACACAACCTAGTTTTTAGTTGTGGACTTGACTGAATATGTTGACAGTAGCAGCGATGGCCGAGATGTCATGTCAATCATATCAAAAGATTAACTGGAAGATTTTGTGTTGGGCTCGTCCTGTTTCTTTACCTCTTCTCATTGAGGTTTCTACTTGTGAGGGGGTTAACTCACCCCAGACCACACGAGTTCGAATATACATGGGTTTGGATATACATGGGCTCGAATATAGCTAGGCTCGGATATAGCTCACACAGTTTTGTGATACGACATATCTCCCAGGGGGGCCTGGGGTGACCATGATTAGAGCCTCACTAGAAGGGTCATAACAATAGTCCCCAAAGTCCAGGCATGATTATTTATATAGTGCGTAGACTTGAAGGTTGCAAGGGGAAAAAGGGAGAAAAGAGTACATCATAACAATAGTCCCCGAAGTTTAGGCATGATTATTTATATAATGCATGGACTCGAACGTTGATGGAGCTTTGGGCGAACAAACCGAAACTTGTGAGAATGCTTAAAAAGAAACATAAGCGAGGTGTCCAAGAGAGGCGAGGCCTTCGCGAAAGAGTCAAGCCTATTGTTATGAATCATAGCCTTTGACAAGGCCTCATAGGAGAGAGGCAAGGCCGTCGCAACAGAGTTGAGCCTGTTGGTGTGACCCGAAGCCTGCGATAAGGCCGAATAAGAAAGGCGAGACCTTTGTGAAAGAGTCGAGCTTGTTGGTATGACCCGGAGCATGTGATAAGGCCTCATAGGAGAGAGGCGAAGCCGTAGTGAGAGGGTTGAGCCTGTTAGTGTGACCCGAAGCTTGTGATAAGGGCTCATAGGAGAGTGGCGAGGTCTTTACAATAGAGTCGAGCCTATGATTAGGCTTCATAAGAAAGAGGCAAGGTTGTCGCAAAAGGGTCGAGCATGTTGAGTCTATCGAAAATACGTGGCTGTTGATTTGAAAACCATGCTAATTCCTAAGATACAATAGCATTGCAAGTTGACAATTCCCAGTACTTGTAATTCGTGCGCATTTACTGCGTCAGAATGATGCTTAGTACAACTGGCAAAGAAGACTTGTATTCACAGTGTGTGTAAAGCACAAGTCCATTGTGGCCGTTAATTCAAAATTCAAATAGGCGCCCTTTCATTCTAGGACGTTTGATGCCTATATAGATGTACGACTTAGATTGAGTTTGGTTAATCTAACAATTGACTTGTCGTCTGCCTGCATATGTAAAAAGGGTTGGGCTTCTTCATTTGTTCCAATTTTTAGCGTGTGTAATTTTTCTTGACTTTTCGGCTATCTTCATCTATTTTCCAGCGACCATCATTAGGCTTTCAAGGCTTCCATAACTTGAGTAAGTAATAAACAATTTTCTTTGATCTAGTTACATCTATGGCCTCTTTTTTAAAGAAAATTGCCCCAGGAAGAGGTTCTATGGGGATAAATATGGACCTGATTTGTGTTGAGGCTGGTTTACCCCCAGTTATTCCCGCTGAGAGAATCATGGAGGCAGTGGGGGTCCTCACAGTGCATGGATGATATAGGAATTGCACATAGATTATAGCATTAGGTGGGGGCCTCACTATCGCCGACCTGTGTGAAGGAGAGCGAACTAGGCACTTTCAGGGAGAGATATAGGATCCTTGATACGATTGAGATGTTCATGCCGACCCTAGATGAGAGAGCATGTTATCACAGGAAGGGGTGTGCTGCGATGAGTGAAGCTATTCTAAGTAAGGGGATGAAGTTGGCTCTGCTCACATTCTTCAAATTTTTACTTAAGTAGTATAATTTGGCTCCCATCCAATTAGTTCCAAATGCATGGAGCCAAATGGTAGGGGCCTTCCTCCTCTAGAAGGAGGTTACTTTTGGCGAGGATATGTCCCCTCATGTGTTCCAAACGTTCCTTCAACCTCAGGCGTCTAGTGGGGAAAAGATTGCAAGGGGTGGTATTGTATTATCCCCTAGGGTTCACATTCTTCCTTCATCTGGGGCACTCTTACCTCGATAAAGAACTGAAAGTCCTCATTGTTCTAGATTAGGGGTTGCTAGCAAATGGTAGAGCGGGATGCGATCGTAGAGATAATTGTGCCGACCCAATACCACGAGTATAGTGAGTTTAGTTCTAGTTGAAAGTTCCTTGTTTATTACATTGTATGTATGTTTCTAAGTCGTATCTTGTGCAATTGGAGTTGATTGGTTCAAGCTCAACTCGTCGAGTGGGCTATCATTAAAGCTATATATGAGCTACCTTCGAAGAAAAGGTTCTTCAGAACTATAATTGGGAAACAAGCCTTATTCATGAATTATTCACTAAAAGCAACTAAGGGTAAGTAATAGCCTCGACCCACTTGTTGTTTGAGTTGACCTAGTGTTAAGATGATGCTAACTGTTTGGTTGTCTTGTTTACAGAGCAACATAACAAGAGAGAGTATGTGAAGCTTGTTATGTTCTTCATGATGCATCTGGCCGAGGAGAATAAAAGGAAACCTTGGAGCTCCGGCTCTTCAACTTACAAAAACCAGTGGGATGAACTAACCCATATGTTAAAGCTGAACCCATCTCCACCTCTAGAGAAGAAAAGGGACAAGAAAGGAAAGGAGAAGGTTGAGCCTTCTACTGGATGTGAAAAGAAGAGAAAGTTGGTCTTCACCTAAAACACTGAACCCCCTCTTCCACCAAAGCACCAAACAACAATTGATGAGTCATTGAAGAAACCTATTGAAGCAGACACAATCGCCACCATAAAGATAATGGAGGCGAAAGAGGTGATCGAGGAGGAGGGGAGCCTCATAAGATGGAAAAGGGCCTAGGAGGTTAGCAAAAGCACTCTTTTAGAAAGGAAGGCTAGAAACTTCCTGGGAGGTAGGTCTGATGAGATCACCCCCGAAGTAATGGAGATGCTTCCCGTCGAGGTACAGGCGACTACAAGAGTTCACTACAAGTACTTGACTGACAAGTACTCTTTTCATATGCCGAGACCTGTGACTTAGTGGATATGCTGGTAGGGATGGCAACTCGAACTGTTAAAATTGAAAATCGAGATTAACTGAACCGAACGAGGCAAAAAAAACTGAACC